GAATACTTCCTAATATTACACTCAAAAACATGGTTGGGAGATTCAAAGGTAATATTTATCAGAAAATGGTTTAAAAAAAAAAACTAAGCCAACTGTGGTGGCTGTAATGGTATGCTAATCCTATGGATATTACTTCGGCTGAGTGGCAGATTTAAGCTCATCCACTTTTACATTGATTTGATATCCTTCTGACTTTTAAAACTCAACAGACCAAGTTTTCCAGTTGTGTGACATTACAGGGACACGAGGCTGCATATCCCTCCCCACCACATTTAATGGTTAAAATAAAAGAGAAAAAGAGAAAATTAAATTCATGGAGAAGAGAAGATTGGTACAAAAAGAGATCTAACCGACCCTGCCCCACCCCTATCCCCAGAAGATTGTGGTGACAATATTTTTTCTTTCTATAAAATTATTATTTGAAAATAGTGAGTGGGTAATCCTGATGATACCCTTGTCCTCGTTGATGCTATGGTTACGACGTTGTCATATACGAACATATATAAAAACAAATATAATAGCCAATGTAACTCTAAAGTATACCAAATATCTTTGGAAGATCACGAGCATAACCTTTCCTCATTCGATAAACCATGGGGCCGTGAAAGAAATTAAATCATTGGCATTGTCATTGTCATGTAGTAGGTCCATGGATATACTATTCGGTACATACTCACCTTTCTCTCCCCAATTCTCCCTCTAACCCCCCCCCCCCCCCCCCTCTCTCTCTCTCTCTCTCTGCCGTTCTTCCATGGGAGATGGAGGGCGTCTAACATGTCACCCTTTTCAGTGTTTACTGTGTGAAGAAGATTGAGCTCTGTTTAATCAAAGATCTCTTTGGTTTAATCATTGACCCTGGTTGTAATCAAGATGGAATACCTGTTTCTCCCTTCTAAATCTCGAGATGGGGTATCTCATTTGGGGGATTTCCCTTTGGCTATAGTGTTCAATTCAAGTATGGTAATTTCGCAATCGTGTCTTACGTAGATTATAGATTACACTCACATAGAATATTCAGGCTCATTTTAACCATGGACCTGCAACGAAATGCTTTAACTGGGAAATCCAATGTGTTTGAATTGCACATCATTATGTCTATCTTGAAAAGTTTAAAAGTAGAAGTAAGAAAGTTCCAAGGATGTTTTGTCTGTTGTAAAGTCGAAATCTGTATCTCTGGAGTTGTTATATTTATATTTTTGTCGACAGAAATATTCGTCTATATTTGGAGGAGTTTTTATAAAATCACACCTACATAACTCTACTATAACTCACACCTACATAACTCTACTATAACTCACACCTACATGTAGATCCTAATACAAAATTAATGATTGGTCAAACGCGGTCTCGTGTTATTCATTTACTGATACTATCCCACGTTTTTCATGAAAAGGCGTGCAATGCAATAGTTTCCAGTGCTATCTATTACTTGATGTATTCGTTCAATTAATGTGTTCTCAATGTTCATGCAATTCGGGTTAATTATTGCCCAGACTTCGGATAGTGCTTTAAATTAGCCGACGACGCGACGGCGCCTTTGCATTCTGCCTGGCTATATATCAATGTCGTATATACTCGATATTCTCGCTAACCCTCAAACATGCCATTTAAAGGGGAATTAACCTCAAAACACGTGTTAAGTTTTTGTAGGCCATTTATAATATTATCTGAAAAATATGAAACATCATACATTTGACGAAGAGAGGACGTAACTCTTCTTCAGAATCCTGCGTCTTTCGCGGCTCTGAGAATTTTCAGAACGTCGCCATTGTGTTTGCGCACGACCCGTTCTATGACGTATTGCATGGATTCGACTGCTATTGCGTACGTACGTTTCCCTGCTGTGAACCGTAAAATGATCAGTGCAGATCACATCGTTTTTCCTGTCGTAATTTTTGTCCAGAAATTTCTCCACCTTCAGAGCTGGTACCTATAGCTTAAATATTTCATTGCGATTGTGGTTGCAATATCACGGGCGGCGATCCCCAAAATATATAGCAAAAACTGACTAAAAACTGAAGCACTCTCTAGCCTCTGGAGGGCCCAAGAGTGCAGCATTTAGACTTATGAAAATGCAAACATTTTTTCGCTCGCCCGCTACGCTCCCTCGCATAAAATAATTTTATTTGGCCTACAGCAATGTTTTTTATATCAAATGAAACGTTATGTTTTACTCTCTATGTCATGATAGTGCCTCGTAATAATTAGTCGAGAGGTTAATGAAAAACATCTCTTTTCTGGCCGCATGTAGGATTAATACACAGATACAAGCGCTCCCATTTAAAAATAAAATGTTTTCAATAGTGATCGAAAAGTACCCGATTGCGTTTGTCTGATAATTTAAGATCGAGAGAGAAAAGTCAACACTAATAAAAAAATTATGAGGTGATATAATTAAGATAATAAACATGACTCTAGAAAGTTGCAATAATTGTTGATATCGGTAATTTTGAAGATGATTCTATATTACCAGATGTTTTAATTATCTGTCCCTTGATACATACAGATTTCGAAGCACTACGTACAGTGAGCTTGATTCCCGCGTTGTTCACATGTACTTAGTACATCCTGCACTGTTAGTATGAAGAAATAGGCTGGTGGTTATTGGTTTCCTTTTCAACCCTGGCACCTCTTATACCGTAGACTAGCAAAACACAAAACACGATAAACATAATTATAGACACAACACGGTGAACAAAATATCAAGATCATATATTTTTGATGGGCTTTTGGGTTAAAGACAGAGTTGAATAGACTGGTCATGGGATTACATTGAGAGAGAAAATGACTGGAAGCAGTCGGGAAAGGATAAGATTATGTAGTAAATAATACTTTGAAGTTTTGGAACGATCAAAATGAAAAGACATTGATTGAATATTTTTTTGAAAATCACATACACTATACGTTCAAAAATGGGTATATATTATAGGACTATACACCCTTGGCATGTAAGTTTGATCCCTACTTTTCAGCGATTGCTCGTCAAAATTAGGAGGGTTATTTATTATTAAAGAGCAATCATTTTCAGAGATTATCCTGCTGGGATATTATTTCATCTAAAGTGACATACAAGTATTACTGAGAAAGCTCACAATTTTTTTTTACCATCGTTACAACTCAACCTTTGCGGTCGGGTGTTGTTTATTCCCTCAATTTAGGGTATCTCTTAAAGGTACTATGTCCCTTTTGCAGCCAACCTCAAATTCTGTAGAACTTTGCAGGAATTATGAATGTGTCATGTATGTCCTATCTGTGAAATTTAAATGTTAGCAGTGTCCTCATATTCAAATTATGCAAGGAAACCCGTTTACTTGCTAGACTTCACTGTTAGACACTATTGAGTGACTGACTTGCTTTTTTTTCTTCTTTGGTAATAACATACATAAAGAGTTGTAAAGGGTACATGAGCATTTGTCTACATAAATAAACCACTTCTTGTGATGGCCAAGATTAAACCGATTAAATCTTTGCGCAGCATAAAACGTATGACCATTCGGTACAATTGTCTGAAAATCAAGACTATTACTTTTGGGCTCTATAGCCCTAAAGTCGATTTGACAACTAATAGTCGTTATTTTCCCACTTGAAGACATTTTCAAGCCCCACCTTTTTTAGGGAAGTTCTAAATTAGTATTATCTTTCAAATGCAGTTGGAATTTAACTTTTTCATTTTTTTGGCCTGCAAATGGGACATAGTACCTTTAAAGGGATAGTTGAGTTCTGTTGCAGAGGGCGCTACACAAAATATTTTTTTGTGAGATAATGAAAAACTGAGTGTCAAATTTGAAAGAACATACAATTTAAATGACAAAATCGGTTCAGAGACAGCTGAAATATCCATAAATATAATGATTTCTAATACACCACAAATATTAGATAATTTGAAAAAGCCGTTGAAAAAAACGAAATAGCGCCTTTTACGTCGTATTTCAGCCAATGCCGATGTTGGCTTATATTACGCACAATCAGCCGGCCCATGTATTGTTATTTTTAATTAAAGTGGAGGAAAGAATTAGAGCTGAATTGGTATGATCGTATTGCCTAAATTTCACACATTTTGGGGTCTAAAATTACCTTCATAACAATTTTAGGTTCTAAAAGGGCACTAGAAATGTCATAGGTAAGAATAAGAGCAATAACCATGCACTGTGAAGGCATTTGCGGTCTGAAAAACAGAATTCAACTATCCCTTTTAATAAGGTGTAGCCGTTTGAACTGGTTTTTCATAATTGCATTAGCTGAATGCTCCATACCTGCAGGAAACAGATTCGTTTTTACCCAATGAAATTATAAAATACTACGTGCTCTCGAACGCCTCAAAACATTTTATTGTCACGGATCATTTTGTACCATCCTCGTTCATACGCTTGGCATAACTATTCTATTTTTGAATAGACTAATTATGCACCGTCAAGAAGAAGAAAACAAGAACAAGAAAGAAAGAAAAAGGAGGAGGAGGAGGAGGAAAAGAAGAAGAAGAAGTTGTTGTTGGTTTAATATGGTGAAATACGATGAAATTGAAAACGAGGAAGAACAACAACGACAACATGGAGAAGGAGGAAAAGGAGAAGACTAGTGAGAGGAAGAGGAGGAAGAAGAAGATTTTGATGAAAATGAAAACTAGGAAGAACAACAACGACAACATGGAGGAGGAGGAGAAGGAGAAGTAAGATGAAGAGGAGGAAGAAGAAGAAGAATTTGATGAAAATGAAAACGAGGAAGAACAACAACGACAACGTGGAGGAGAAGTGAGAGGAAGAGGAGGAGGAAGAAGAAGAAGAAGAAGTTGTTGTAATTGGTACGGTCGTAACGAAGCGAATAGGAGAGCCTGGAACCAGAAATAGCTGGTACCGGACGACGTTGTTGATATAAAGGTCTTGTTTTCTGTTTCGAATCGCAAATGTCCAAAGAAAGAAGGAAGAAGGAGGAGGAGGAGGAGGAGGAGGAGGTGGAATTTGATGAAAATGAAAACGAGGAAGAACAACAACGACAACATGGAGGAGAAGGAGAAGTGAGAGGAAGAGGAGGAGAAAGAAGAAGAAGTTGTTGTTGGTTTAATCCGGTCGTAACGCAGCGAATAGGAGAGCCTGGAACCAGAAATAGCTGGTACCGGACGAAGTTGTTGATATAAAGGTCTTGTTTTCTGTTTCGAATCGCAAATGCCTAGCTTTAGAGCAAACACTTCACCCCTTGGATAAAGAAAGTATATATTGACATATTCGTGTAGCAAGTACATAATATTGTGAGGACGTAAATATACCAGTCGTGGCACGACCCTACGAACACGCTTTCTGATTTGTAGTATCGTATAGTACAGGTCCATCATGTCATTGCTGATATAATACTCAGTTGGTAAATGATATCGACATCATTCATACAAGTTCACATGCATCAGTGTGTATAGGATGAAGACTGAAGTTACAGAGATTAACAACTCACTGTCACCCGTGTCATACGGGAGATAAGACAGCAACGAACTCATTACTAGAAGGCGGCCATAGAGATACATTTGTACAGCTAAACCGTGTTACGGTAGCAGTGGCAACGAAGTCTTAACTTGAGAAGGTGTAATAACTCCTTGGTTCAACGCGTGGTTGAAAAACTTGAGTTAAGTTTTTAAAACTCCGCGGTAAGTTAATCACGATTTTTGATCAATTGAGACGTGGTATATTGCTCAGTATGATATTGTGAGCATTGTGATCAGGAGTATTTTTCGGGAACATATTTCACTCTCGCTCTACAGAATGGTTGCGGACTTGCGGTACATGCACGGAACAGCACGTGATCATCCGTGTTTTTAACTAAACATCGTGACCAGATATCTCTTATCGACTGGACTCTCTCCGTGTACAGCATATACTTAAAGGCCAAGTCCACTCCAAAAATAAGGTACATGTATTTATAATAGAAGTAGACAAATCAGACAAACCAATCGAAAAAAAGTTTGAGCAAAATCGGATAACTAATAAGAAAGTTATGAATTTGTAATGACATGTATTTATAATAGAAGTAGACAAATCAGACAAACCAATCGAAAAAAAGTTTGAGCAAAATCGGATAACTAATAAGAAAGTTATGAATTTGTAATGACATGCAAAACTTTGAAAATCACAAGACAAATTGGCAACTCACTCATGAGTCTGTGAGGTCATTGCCTCACTATCCACTAATTGTTTTTTTTTTATAGCGATATTGCAAATTTCCCATTTTACCCCTAAGAATCTTATTCCTCACACAAGCATCCGAGTTATATTTATTGTAATATGTTTTTGCGTGGATGCAAAAACATATCCACGCAAAAACATATTATTATAAATAGAGTTATTTTTTTCAGTTAAATCATGAAAAATGTGAACTTTGATAAAATATTTAACATAAGAATCAATTATCGTGAATATAACTATATTAAAAAAATAGTATAACTTCTTCAAAGTTCATAAAAGATTTTGTGAAAAATCATGCACGCAATATGATACAAGTCAGAAGAAGTCGGTCATTCACTCAATAGTGTCTGACAGTGAAGTCTAAAGAGTAGAGAGGTTTCCTTGCATAATTTGAATATTAGGACACTGCTAACGTTTAAATTTCACAGATTTCACAGGACATACGTGACATGTTCATAATTCCAGCAACGCTCTACAGAATTTGATGTTGGCTGCAACTGGGACATCCACATATCTTAGGGTTTTTGTTCTATTATTTTAGTACAGAAAAAAAATTACAGGACAATATTTTCTGGACTATACGGAGAAAAATTCTCTTTTCCTTATTTAAAATTGACCATCGTAAAAGTTTCATTGACGTTATCCACGTGCTGTATACTGCATTCTTACCATTTTGGATGGACAGTTATGTTGTTGGTTCATCCTTTTTGACAGGCTAAACTCCGCTCTCCTTTGCTCACATAAATAAATTAACGCTATATAGCACTCACTGCCTGGAAGATGCATACATGGTGTGCATGATGATAAATCACCTCATTAGGATTATCTTACATCCGTGTATGAATATGATATTCAAAGACAAGCCGTATAGCTCGTTTGGTATTCATTCCACAGTTTGATCTGCAAACTGTAACAAATTAACGTGATACTTACATGTAGCATGTATGTATATCAATGTGTATAGTAATCATATGTCTAATTTAAAATTGACAAAATTATGGTCTTGACAATTACTTCTTACTACTGATGACAAACGCTTCATTCTTCAGGGGCATCATAATTATAATGCTGAATAGGCTTTATAAAGGAATTAAACAAACCCCTCTCCCTGTATTTACATTTCGAAAATAGATTACCCTTTTCATTAAAAATGAATGAAACAAGCTACTCCGTTAAAAATCCCAATATCCAATTTCCCAGTAGTTATGAGTTTGTTATTTCCGATGCAGCTAGATGTAGGATGTATGTTTGGTCCTTGATATCTGTTTGTTTAGTTCCTTCCTTCCTGCTTCGTGATAGCAGACCTAGAATATTCGAGTATTACTGGTTATTTTTTGAAGTGTATATAGGATATGGAGAAAACATGATGATACCAGGAAATAACACTGATACAATATCTGCCCATTATTTTAAAATGCACTTGTAAAGCATAGTCTTTTAGAGTCATTCCTTGTGTATTAACATCGCTTTTCTTCAGGTTATCTTCGTACTACCGGGAAAACATAAATTCTTCGCATTATTTTACAATGTATCGGTAAGCTTTATAGTCTTTTTGCTGGTATACTGGACATAATAATTTAAATCGCTTTTAACCAGGTTTTCTTCATAATTTCTTGTTCGCTTCAGGCGATTGATGCGAGGAATGCCCAAACTTTCACCAGTCTTATGGAGTAGTACGAACTAAATCGTTCAAGAGAACTTCTCTTTCGAGAGGATCTGTGCTAAGAGAACCCGTGTTCTTCCAAGTCAAAGTTTAAAATATCTTTGATAAAATAATATAATTATCGAAGTGATGTTATAACTCTCCGCATATCCTGTCGGTTTACCGATTTATTTTGTGTTTTACTTTTAGTCGATTTAATGTCTATTTTATGATGTATCTCTAAACGATATACCGTGTGAGTAAACAAAAAGTTTACACCTAGAAAATTGCTAATTATTTTTAAAATCATCCATGAACAGTAAATTATTATACATCTTATGAAACAGTGTTTTATTCCGAATCATTTGGTACCATTTTTGTGTGGTATGTGTTCACGCTTGGATGAACAGGTGGCATTGTTTGCGAGAGTGCAAAAATCGACAATGCAATGTTTTATTTGATAAGGGCCGTGTTATTTTTTGACTGCTATATGTCTAATAATGATTTAAGTTACCTTAACAGCGCTCTCGATTGAACACTCTCAAAACCACATATTTATGAATTCAGTATTTCGCAGGGATATACAAGTACATTCTATTCAATGCAGAAAAAAGGATATAGCCTAGTAATAGTATAGAATAAAAAAAAGCAAAACCATGATTTGTTTTATGAGGAGTATGTCAGCCCACCACTCCAAGTACTAGTGTCAATTTCCAGCTATCAAGTTCAATATTTTGTCGTTTTCATTTCCATCTCCTTAACCTACTTTCGTTCTGACTTGCATCGATTGTAAACGGGACCACTGAATACTAGGTCGCGTGTGTGAAGTGGTGAGGTAGTTCTGCATCAAATTTCATGAATGCGTATTATAGCCATGGGTGTTTTCACGAAGTGACGGTAGTGAGGAAAATCGTCACGCAAAGTGAATGCAATTTTTTTTTCACTACCGTCACTTCGTGAAAACAGCGACGGGGTAGTGCTTGGAGAGAAATGTCCATTGGTGAACGTTATTTATTATTCCAAAAAAGCATTCATCACCATCTATGCCAACCAGAGTATCAGACTGTGTTTAATTTATACATGGTGTCTTGGTAAAGTCAACCACTGTGGTGAAAATATACAATAGGCCATTTTCGTAATGTAACAACATTTAATGCATATCACGTCTTTGTAAAGTGCCTCGGTACGTATTATGTCACTCACCTGTCACGAATAATTGTCTTTCAATAATCAGAATGCAAATTGCATATAATAACGTGTTGTTAGGTAGGTATAATAAGCTATAATTTTTGTTATTCCTATAAAAAAATATAATGCAATTATTCATAACAGGTGAACAAAATAATTCGTTTCGATGCTCTTCACATTGACATAACTATTATTTATTCAATTTGAATACATTACGAAAATGGTCTATTGTAAGGTGAGGTGTATGACCAGGGCCACGTCTTATACAGTGAACAATATACACGGGGGCTCGGGTCGAATTAGCCCCCGAAATGCCTCAAAGAGCCCTCGAAAATCAGAAAAGAGCCCCTGTAAATATTGCATTGAGTTCAATGCAAAACAAATTTTAGAATGTTATTTTCATGCAGGCAAGCTTGAAAACTAGCCCCCTAAAAATAAATATTTTTTTTTTCCCTGGGACTCTTATACAAACTTACGATTGATGAAAATCAATCGTAAGTTTGCAGTCTTCTGTCTCGTATGTACATAGTTGCGATTGGATTCAATCACAAATAAGTTGCGTCTGATATCAACTCTTTATAAGACGGGGCCCTGAACTCCAAAAGTGCTTAGCCTAATGCTACAGTCACAAAGGTTCGTACGAACGTTAATTTTGTACGAATCTCCCTGTTTTTCAATTGTCTTTCCAAATTTCCATTGTCTGAAAATCGTTCGTACGGCGTTCGTAGCAGTTCGTAATGGCATTTGTGACCTTGAGTTGTAGATTTACATGTAAAATAATTGCAACCAATTCCAGCACTGCATTATGGTTTACCACTGTTGACACTTGATTATTATTCGTTTAAGTAAGTTTTAAACCTTTTCTCCCTTCTTTTCCCCTTTATTCCTCTTTTTACCTTTCAGATTACTACGCGATGGTCCTGTAACTAGATGTTAAATCCAGCTAGCTGTAGAAAGTGCGATGACTGGTTGGCCAAGCTATGAGATAACCTTAGACAGTGGCTAATGATAACAACTCTATTCGTATCTCTCGTATGGAGGTGAGTGTATCTTCAGACGTCAACAAAATTATAGTAAACCACGCTCTGATTGGGAACTTTTTAATTTCGGACCAAGAGCTATGGGGCGGTGGGGGGGGGGGGGGGGGCCTGGGGCTGCCCCTCCCCAAGAAGTGTGAAAATGTCAATACTCGGGTAATCGTTTACGTCATTTAGGCAGGGAGATGAACATTACAATTTTCTCGTATCTTTAGTATATTGTTGACGAAATATATGCTTACCTTAATAAAGTTATTTTTGTGTTGCTCGCAGGTGGTAGAATTTTGAAATGTCTGTAGTGGAGTGTATCTCACAGTCTTGCTTATTACTATGATAATATTTTTTTTAATATTGATATTCCATGATAGCGTGTAAATACAGTGACATGCATGACCCTCACGCTGTATCAAAACAGCATGACTATATGTAACGTAGTGACATTGCTGTATACTGTATTATTGTTTCCACCACCTCTATCGAGGGAATTCTCCGGATGTTTCTGATCTCTGTAAACAATATTGTGGCTTATACCTGGGCTGGTGATATCCGAAGAAACTTCAATCCATCACCCTCCTTTTATGCCCCTCTATTCTTTTTTGTTTTGTTTTCTTCTTTTTTCTTTCCTTTCCCCCCCCCCCCCTTTTTTTCTTATTTCCTTCTTTTCTTTTCTTAACCAAGTTAACACGAATTTTTTCCTTAGAGTTTAAAGAATCCGGAAAGAGAACCGGGTCAATGATCTAGATTTTAAGCCATCTTTGTCGGCCTTGACTACAGAGCGCAATCATGGAATACAGACTGTCCAGTTATAGTAGACCATATTAATAGCATGTTTTCTATACGTCTCACTCTCTCCCTCCCTCGTCTGCTCTGGAATGAGTCACGAGCTAGGAGAAATCAAAACTTCTCTTACTTCCCTCCTTCCTATTCCTCTCCTATAGCCCGTTATTTGTTAAACCTCTGTAACCTCCACCATTACACTCCGGGTGCCTTGCAATAGAACCCTTCATGGTCAGTCAGGTCGGCTGAGAGCATGCATGGCGTCGTAGATGGTCAAGTGACTGGAGGTTACTATTCCCTGAGTGGCATCAATATTTACCTATAGTTGAATATTGTCTTATGGAAAATTCGATGAGAGATGATCCTTCTATGTAAGTTAAGACTTAGTGATATTTTAAGATGGCATTGTTTTTTTATAGAGATCCATGTGCTCTTGGTAATTTTTAAAGTAAAATATGCATGTCATATCATATTGTTCTGTACATAAAATGACATGAACGTTGCATGGAATTTCCTTTTTTTTGGGGGGGGGAGGGGGGGGGAGATATCTGGAAAGATTCACCATGCACGACTTTATATGAAGTTCTTCTTAAAGTAATTTTCGATAATTGAGAACGATTTCTCAGTCAGATATCCCTTCATCTCTGACACAATAATTATAACAAATTTCGGCGAAGTTGCCCTGACGATACATCGATAGAATGAATAGTTACAAACTACATTTCACATTCTTGTCTTTCTTATACACAATTAAATAGGAACGCTCTAGTTGAGATGACAACAATAATGAGATAATTATATCAGTTACATTAAGCCTCGGTCACAAATGCCATTACGAAGTGCTACGAACGCCGTACGAACGATTTTCAGACAATGGAAATTCGGAAAGACAATGGAAAAACAGGGAGATTCGTACGAAATTATCGTTCGTACGAACCTTTGTGACCGTAGCATTAAATATATTCAAAGGGCCGTTATGAAGAAAAGCCATTTTATAGGAGCTGTAGTTTCTCATAGTGGCATTTTAAAAATTCTATTGCGACTCTTTTTTAGAGCTCCTCTTCGGATGTTATAATTCAATATAAACCAGCTGATGATGAGAGGAGAGGCGAAATTGTCTTTTCGCCGTCGTTATTAGCGCCTGTCTAAAGGCATTCCCTTTCCTCGTGTATCTACTTGAAACAGAATCTACCCTCGAGCTCGAGTTCATATCCCCCGAATATACCATAACCATGGCAACCTTCTGTGATGGAGGCATCCGCATAGAAGTATCGACGTGAATGCCAGTAGATGTATATTGATTCCGCTGGCTTTTGATGAAAAAATTGTGAAAGTTGTTTGTCCGTGATGGAAGGGGCAAAATGAAAACCGATGGACGTTTGTTTCTCTGCGATTGACTTTTCCAATTTACGCCACATTTCGTTCTTAATTTTGCGAAAGAATTCCGTGAATTGTTTGCCGCGGAGGGAAGGAAAGAAAGGAGTCACTTATTTCACTCGCAGGATCTTCAATAATAATATACTCACCATAAACAAAGGGACAAAAAAGAAAATAGTAATGGATCGATATTGAGTGCCTCCATTATTGAGGGACAAAATATTTCTGAGGCCAACAAGATGCGTTTTGTGGAGGAAGTGAAAACAACTTTATTCCTTACAAGAACCCAGGCAACCTCAAGCAGCAGACAAAAACTAAATCTATACTTGGATGCTTTTGCAAACCATGCATGCGTTCTAAGAAAAGTATAGTGCAGTTCATTTTTCAGTAAGAATCATGAAAATCAGTTACAAATTATGAGATGCTTTACTCACAAATTAATAAATGGGTGAAGAGCCAGAAAGAAAGGACGTAAAATTTGTTGAATTAAATAGGGTTAAAGATGAAGTTGAGTTCTGGTCATGCAGTTATATGAAAGAAACTTTCTGGAAGCAAATTTGGGAAATGTTATGTATGTACGTAAGAGTTGTAGTATACTGTTAGGTTGTTGAATGATCGGAGAATGAAAAGAAGTTGACTTTATCTTGTTGACAGTCACTTGCACTGTACACAGGTGTATATGGGACTACACAAATAATGTGGCTGGCATGAAAGTTTGGTTCAAAGACTTCTTCTATTTCTTGTCCTTATTTCGACTATTGGGCTACATGAAGAACAGTCCTTGTCACGTGATTTTTTTTCTGTGATAGTCTTCCACTTTAACATAAAAGAAAAAAAAAGCTCACTAATCATTTTTCACATTTGACCTTTCCTATAGAACTCATCCTTTTCTTTAACGCCTCTCCTTTTCGTAGAAAATAGTCTTCCCGTCAGTGGATAGCACAACAACTGATAAGCAATGGATGACAAGGTGTTACATTACCCGTGTCTACGCTTCAGCATGCACTTTATTTAACTTATCAACTCCTTGTATTTTCCATCAAGTTCGTTATGTTCTGACGTTAGAAGCTGTGATTCCAGTACCTACACAATACGTGCATTATAACCTCAAAGACTTAGTAGGCCTATAATACTAGGGTTGTTGGTGATTTTGTTCCCCAGTTAAACGGTCCTTCTATATTTATTATCATCAATATAATGATCGATTGGCTTGCCAGTAATAAGTTATGAAATAGGAGAACTGAGGTATTCTATTTTGAGATATTGCTGTGTGCTTCCTAAATATCTACAAGCTCATGCTACATTAATTATTTGTAAAAGATGCATTATTTTGTATACAGTCATGTTTAAGAGTAATACACGCCTGGGAATTATCCCCGTGTCTTCGGTACATACATTCATTTCCAATAACAAATACTTCAAGTCGGCAACGATATTATAGATGCTACCACTTTAAGGTGCTTCTGAAACCTAAAACAAATGCGAGATAACCATATCCAATCTTCCTCAAATTAATCTATTAAGGGGTCGATTGTCTTTGTCCCTCTTTATGCCATGCTAAACACAATTCGTTTTGTTTGGTTGATTTTTTGTGATTTCTTTTTTAAAGGAAAAACGGAGAAAAAGTACAGCTTCGCTTTCAATTGGTGGTTCTAAAGACGGTGAGCAGAGCCGCAAAATGTTGTTCTGGGATAAAATTACTTATTATCGCATGCGTCACAAAATCTCGCATGCATACAGTTGCCATTTTGCAGCTCCTTAATCAAAGGTAGCGATTATCATGTTATCCTTGCGTTCAAAGTCCTGCCCTTTAGCAGAGAGCGAGTAAACCGACACCTCCGTGTTCGCCGTGGTGTTTTTGGCGGGTTTTTGGTGTCACAGTTTATGTCACACCTCGCTTGTTTGAGCAGACGATACGCGCAGTGGGTCCCCATGGAGGATAAGTTACTGCCTCTTGTTGTTATGTAGTAAGATTTCTTTTTGCACCATATCTCATGGGATGCTTTGGCATTTTCGAGCAAACTTGCGAACAAAATAACATCACAGTCATGGCAAACCTTTTTGCTCTGCAGTATCTCAAGAGGAAGACATAATTTTATTGTGAAGATTCTTGTAGCAATTTTCTATAATGATTTAACCTTCGAAAAAATCACTACATTATTCCGTCTTGATGACATCATAGATTTTTTTTAAAAAGCTTCGGAAATAAATATGTGATATAGAGTTATAACAAAATGAACAAACACACAGAGTTCCATACAAAATCAGCTTTTGCCAGTGGTATAGACAGGATAATTAGATTGAAAACAAAATTGTAGTACATAATCAGGAGATTTACAAGATGAAAATAATTTCGCGAGCTCATCACTATTAATGGTCACTAAAAGAGTCTTACAAAACCAGATTCTACACAATTTCTTGTCTGTTGCTTATGTTTGTAGCATTCGGCAATTTGAACTTGATGTATTCCAAGTTGATTATGATGTTTAAATTTCTTTCCGCGAACTTGAAGCTGGCTTGTGTACTTGATAGTCAGTCAGTTAATGCAAGGTTTGATTATCTTGTCTTTTTTCTTCTTCTTCCTGGAATGAATTATTTGTCGATAAATCCTCTTTATTGCTACGATCACCACCCCTTTCTGACACCCGTTAGGTACAGCTATCCGATGTATGTCCACATCTACGAAAGATTACACTCCCTTTAGGCTCCATGCAAGATTGAACGACTCTAGATGATGGGCTTCCATCCTATGACACTAATCTATATTGACAGCATAGCTGGCGGCCATTTTCAAACTCCAAGCACAATGTAATACAAAACTGGCGGCTTTGTCTCCAATTATCCTTCGA